GGGAGGGGGTGCGGGCTACCAAATATATCTATCTATCTGCCTACGGTTTACCAGGCAGCTCCTCTTCTCCCTCTCTGCCCACAGTTTACCGGGCATCTCTGTTTGACGATATATATTGTCAAACAGAGCTGCCCGGTAAACCGTAGGCAGAGAGGGGGGGAGAAGAGGACAACAAACGAGGGCCTGTGACAAACTGTTTCGTCGGAGTTTCACCGACTCATCAGGAGGCTGAACCCTCAACAGTCTGTAGAATCCCCTGACTGATTACACTGTAAGTGGTAATCCACCTTAACCCCAGCTGTGGTTAAGCATTAAAGAGATGGTCTTTGTCCTCCTGATCACTTCTGCAGCAAAGAGATGGTCTTTGTCCTCCCGGTTCATGGTCACCATCGTTCCTAGTAGAATTGCTGCATCATCTTCTTCAGTGACCACCCACGGGGAGGGCTCCCACATTTCTGTAGACCACACTTTCCAAAATCTCTGCACCTCGGGGCAACGCACAAACAAGCGTGGTATTGTCTCTCCCTGCCCACGCTCCACGGCGGAGCAACGTTCCTCTGTGTACCTGCTCTTACTGACCTTCCACTTGGCAGTACGATTGCGAGATGACAGATCATCCATAACAGCCCTACCTGCTTCTGGTCCGGCAGGGCCTTCAGTATCGCGCATTGCTCTTCCATTTCTCGAACGTCCACCTGGCCATCCATTCCGGGGGGAGGCAGACCCTTTTTGCCCATCGGTCACGGAGTTCTGTTGATATGTCCACCTTTGGGAGGAATGCCCGATAGATTGCTTTTCCGGCAAACCGCAGCAGAACACAGAAATCTCAGCAAATCAGTCCACCAAGCAGCAATACTCAGAAAAAACTTCAAAAAAGCAGATTTTTCAGTCTGCAATTTTTTTGTTTCATGTTTATTACACCAGGAAATAAAGGTCATGGAGGCCAAGCACCCGGGCTCCTTTTTTGTTTCACGTTCCCCTTGTGGTGAACAACTTCTCTCAGAAAAGAAGTTGGTTCGACTTCCTCCGTGCCCCTTTTTTGTTTCACGTTCCCCTGGGAGAGGTAGTGGTGGTTTGACTTCCTCCGTGCTCCTTTTTTGTTTGACGTTCCCCTCGTCGCTTTTTTGAAGGTGTATGCAAAGTTGCGAACTTAGGTTTTGGGTGGATGTATCTGGCTGCGTACATGGCCAAATCCATTCCAGAAAGTCCTCGCGTGAGGATGCCTTTGGTATCCTCTGTTTGAGGTTCACAAAGATGAGTGAACTCAGCCAAGGCGGGAATAAAGAAAAAAAAGAAAACCGAAAAGAAGGGATGAGCCAAGACCCTCTGATGAGTGTGCAACATTGAGAAGGCTTTATTGCGTCAGTGGATTTACCTGGCTGTGAATATGACCATATCCATTCCGGTCCGTGGAGATCACTGACGCTGACCTGGCCTGCCATGTCAGTGGCGTTTCACATCACCAGGGGAATTGAAAAAAGGAAGTGCTTGGCTGATTCTGCAAGTCAAAAACTCGGTCGAGGGGGTTGGTCTTAGTGGTGGTCAGCCTTGTCACATCAGCCCCATGCAACGACTTCAAAGAGCTTCCTGGTCGGCTGGATTAAGCTGTAAAAAACTACATTGGTTCTTTTTTTTTTCCTTTCCCGGTTTTCGTTCTGCCTCTTTAGATGTAGCGCTCTTTCTTTTTTTTCTTCTTTTTGAAGTGTGTATTGAAAATCGTTATATGGACTTAATTGTGTGCTTTGTATCGTGTTTTCCTTGCTGCAGGTCTGCCGCAGCACTTGGAATTGACGATGCCTGCACTGTCGCCCACTATGGTGAGCCTCATTCCTGGGTAGATGCAGTTATAATGAATACGAGCTGCACTCCTGGCTAGGTGCAGCTATAATGAATGTAGAGGAGCCACGTTCCTAGCTAGACACACTCATGATGAATGCATATGAGCCATGTTTATGGCTAGATGCACAGTCTCTAACTGTGGTTATCTGTGCATTACGGGCTAGATGGAGTCGTAATGAAAATATATGAGCCCTGTACCTGGCTAGGTGCACTGTCTCCAACTTTGGTGAGCTGCATTCCTTGCTAGATGCAGACATGGAGAGTGTAGATGAGCCATGTTCCTGGTTAGGTGCACTGTACATAATGAATGTATATGAGCCGTGTCCCTGGCTAGATGCGATGTCTCCGCCTATGGTGAGCTGCATTCACTGGCAGCATGCGGCGGACATAATAACATACTTGTAGACAGGATTCGGTCTGTCAATTCTATCCTCCTACCGTCTTCAGCCGAATAGAATGCCAGGTCATTATAGCTGTATGTACAGCAACTTTCAGTCCAGATGCAGCGATCATGACCGGGCTTTCTATTCGGGTGAAGACGGTAGTTCCAGCTGTCTACTGTTCTGTGCCAATGCCATGTTCCTACCGTCTTCACCGAAATAGAATGCCCTGTCATTATCGCTGCATCTGGACTGAAAGTTGTGCCAAATGCAATGATGATGACAGGGCATTTTGTTTGGGTGAAGACGGTAGGTGGCGAATGCGGGTGACAACTTGAGCTCTCCCATGATATGGGGCCCTTGTGGCAGAGGGTAGAGATTCAGAATGAAATCGGAAGCGCATTTCAAGTGGAGATGCAGAATGAGGTCTAAAGATATATAGGCCTTACTTCTTACGGCACATACAGACTTGGGAGACCGTGGTCGTTGCCGACCCCGTCACTCTTCTGCTTCATCGCTTAAATTGGGCGGCAAGGTATTCCGTTGCTCAGGTGCTATTATGCACTGTGTTTGAAACACATAGCAGTGGTTGAAAGTTTGTTGTACTTGAAGGTTTGGGCTTGGCAGTTTGCGGCATTGCAGTCAAGCACTTGTGAATTTGCTGGTCTACGGTTGGACCTGCCTGGCCAGTATGTGTGGGTTTCCTTCGCTGGTTGGGGTTCTGCAAGCTCACTCTCGCTTGCAAGTGAACTGTTTGAAATCGGTTTGTGAATCGACTTTTGGAGTTGTGGGTTCAAACTCTTCCAAGTTTTGGTTCAACGGTTCACCTCTTGTAAGTCTGGTTTGGACTTTTCTTTTTCTCATTCAATGTGTGCAGAGGGACTTGTTGAAGGCCAACCGTTGACAGCGGACTGAGGGTCAGCGTCAGACAATATTTTTACTGATTTCTTATGTATCGATGCGTGTTTCTTTTCTCCACACTTGTGCTGTCTTTGTGTTTACTGCACACATACCAGCGAGTTGGTTGTACAAGAACATGTTGTTCTCTTTCCCTCCCTCCCTCCCTCCCTCTCTCTCTCTCTCCCTCTCTCTCTCTCTTTCTCTCTCTCTGTGTCTGTGTGTGTGTCTCCCCCTCCCTCCCTCTCTCTCTCTCTTGCTCTCTCTCTGTCTCCCTCTCTCTGCCTCTCTCTCTCTC